AGGAGCGCGGCGAGGAGTGCGGCGAGGAGCGCGGCGAGGAGCGCGGCGAGGAGCCCGGCCAGGAGCCGCTGTAGTACAGTCTTAGCGGGCACGATGCCCTCCGTCACCCTCTCGCGGCGGGCGCGGCGGGAGCTATGGGAGGTCCGGGAATGTTTACGACTCGACTGAGAGCGATTCCCTCACCCTAAAGCCCAATGTACTTCCAGACGGCGGCGGCGGCGGCGGCGGGCCCCGCCCTGGCCGGCCCCGGGCCTGGTGTGGTCGGGCGCGCGGCGGGGGCTCCTCAGGTGACACGTAAGAAATTTTGTTGCTCCCCGAGGAAGCGAAAGGGGAAGGGGGCCCCCTGCCCCTCTCTTCTCCACCCGTCTCCGCCCAGTACTTCATGCCCCGCCCACCCCACACCGCCGCCTCGCCCTGAGCCCCCTCGAGACGGGTCGTAATTTGTGTTATGGGGGCAGCCCTTTGCTGCCAGCCCACAGAAGGTGTCTGGCCGCCCTTCCGCCTCCTCCTCCCCTCCCCCCTCCCTCTGCCCTTCAGCGGCCGCCGCCTCGCCTCCTCCACGCGCCCCGCGGGGACGACCTGACGAACCTGACACGAGCGAGAGGAGTACAGTCCGCCACAGGGAGGGGCGGGGCAGGTGACGCGGCGCACGCCTCGCGAGCGACACTCCCGAACGCTCCCCGCGTGTGCATGGCTCGTTGGATTTTTGTCTGCCTCTGCAGTTTTGCTCGTGGTTTTGCGAGGCCGCGCCCCGCTCCGGCGGTTACCGGTTACCGGTTTACAAAATGTACTATTCTTTGAATGAATTGAATTCCTTTCAACTGTGCCCGAATAAGTTTTTGATACTAGTTGAAGATATTTTTTTTATTTGATTATCAGATTCTTTGATCTGATGACTATGGTTTCCCTGTTTCAAACTTTGACTTTGAAATAATGTTACAAATTGATTTGGGACATAGTCAAAGGCTTTGATTCAATGGACACACTTTCGGGGTGTAATGTGTCACACTATGGATTGCGACTCTCACATGCCACACCCCCCTGCTCTGCTTCGGACGGCCTGCTCTGTCATCGGAGTCCACCACGCTGCTGAGCAGACACA